ACCTCAGTACCTCTTGCAGTAGGCAAGCTCGATGCACTTGTAGGTTGGAGGCATCTGGTAAGGCAAAGCTTACTCTCCTTGGAAGACTGTGTTGTGGAATCTTTTCTTAGCTTTTCTTTGAGGTGCCAGACTTCCCAGTTGGCTGTGGCAAGTGTTTGATGTGCCCAAAGACCTTGGCTTGTTTTGATACTGTGCCTGTTTTGAGGAATGTTAGAAAACTGTTGTTTGGAGGAGAGGAGTCTGTGCTGGGAACCATATGATTAAATAACCAGGCTTCCTCAGCCCTCAATTAGTGGAGCAGTCATCAAACCTCTGACTGTCCCTGTGTATTTTAGGTGTGTGTGGCTCACTCTAAAGCCTGATGCTGCAAGATCTGCATCCATAGCAAGAATGCTCTGGTAGAACAGCTCATCTCTTTCTGGATGTGTACACAGATCTGTTGCAAAAGTGTGGGACACTCCTCTGCCCTCAGTGATTCTCAGTGTCTCCTGATGTTTGGTATAGTACCATGAAAGGCTACATTTCTAGCTTAGCAGGAAAGTACAAAACTCCTAAAACCATGTGAGTGACAGGTGCATAGAGGTGGGGCTTCATTTTTTTTCCTCTCCTTATTTTTTATTTTCACCAGCTCTTTCCCACCACTTCATAAAACTCAAACCCCTTTTCCTAGAAACCATCAGTGTCCAAAGCCAGTATTTTGATGATATAAACAGGCTTCTTTCCTTGTGCTTTGCTTCAGTACAGTACTGGACTGTTTTCCTAGAAATCCACTAAGAAAAGCCAATTTCACTGTTGGTGTAGTTGTGTCACAAAAGGCAAACACTAAGTGGCCTCTGAGACACAGAGTATGGCAAGGCTGCAAATATTCAAATGCTTTGTGAGCAGCAAGTACGGAGGCAAAACTGCTCTTGACTTACCCCTTTGAGAGAAAAAAATAGCTGCTACCTTTGTGTCACATAGTCCCCTCCTCCACTTCCTTGGATGCCCTGTAAAAGTTAATTCATTACTGTTAGTAAAGGGCTCTGCATTTGTCTGCTGCCAAATGCCGCTGGGGTACCCTGTGCTTCTGCTGGGTCTGCTTGTTTGCTTTCCCTCTTGGCAGCGTGCTGTGACATGGCCTTCTCCAGGGGAGTGAAACTAATCATTGGAAACAAGCAACCCTCCAACTGCACAAAACACAGAGCAGCAAAGCCTGGAGCCTCGCTGACACTGCCTGCAAGGAAAACTGTGTTCCCAGTCGGCTGCTGGGTCATGCAAGGCGTTTTCCTCTTGTGCCATAAGTTTTGAATCTGAATTGTTCCATGGAAATACTTTTTATGTCCTCATTTTTGTACTCTGCCCATGGCGGGGGTGGAGGGGAGTGGGGTTAGAACTAGATGATCTTTGAGGACTCTTTCAACCCAAGCCTTTCTAGGATGATTTCTGTGTTTCTGTGATACGCTTTTTTCTGCGTTCTGGTAGTTTGCTACAATGCCTGAAATATGCTGGGCTGCCAGATCGTCTCGATGGGACGTGAGAACAATCCTCACTCTGACCTCTTTCATACGGGCGATTAAATATTGAAACTTTGGTCGTGCAAGGCGTTTTCCTCTTGTGCCATAAGTTTTGAATCTGAATTGTTCCATGGAAATACTTTTTATGTCCTCATTTTTGTACTCTGCCCATGGCGGGGGTGGAGGGGAGTGGGGTTAGAACTAGATGATCTTTGAGGACTCTTTCAACCCAAGCCTTTCTAGGATGATTTCTGTGTTTCTGTGATACGCTTTTTTCTGCGTTCTGGTAGTTTGCTACAATGCCTGAAATATGCTGGGCTGCCAGATCGTCTCGATGGGACGTGAGAACAATCCTCACTCTGACCTCTTTCATACGGGCGATTAAATATTGAAACTTTCTGTTCGTTCTCTTCCTGCCCCTCCCCATTCTTTCAGAGCGCTGAACAAAAGGAGAGCCTGGGCCCGGCTCGCTGAGACGCGGGGTGAATGAATGCAGTGACCGACATGGTGCTGAACCCTTCCCGAGACAGCGCTGCAAGGAAGCCGCCTCTCCAGACTGGTGGCCTCCAGGAAGGCTGCCAGTTCCCATTCCCGCTGGAGCTGTGGGTGGAGAGGCGGCTTCCTGCAGCTGCTTCACCTTGCTGGCAGGGCAGCGGAGGGTCTGCCCTGCACGGGGAGCCCGAAGAGCCTGGATTGCTGTCGGGAGACAGCAGACTTGCTTGGTGTTTGCTGTGCTGCTCCAGGCACTGCCATGCCTTCCTGCTGGCGTGGTGCTGCACAGGAGCCTTGGGTGCCCCCTGTGCTGGCTGGGGACACAGGTTCACGGGTTCTTGTTGCTTTGCAGCATCTGCGTGGGGCAGGGCTGGCTGTCCTGGCCAGCCAGGGTGAGGCTTCCCCTTGATGTGGGTGAAGAGGTTGAGCAACTCAGCCCAGGAGGCTCTGATTCAGCCTTTTCCTTGCTCTTGCAAATCATTGTGACCCTTTTAATTTACTTGTCTGCAGCTTCTAATTTATTTTTTTCCCTGCAACAGAATTGGAAGAGTTGTAGTTGTAGCTGTCTTCCTAACCTGCCATGCTTAGGGTGGACTACATGGGAGACAGAAATGGGCTGGCAGAAATTCAGGAAACTGATGTTCATTACATTTTTCTTCTAGAAAGCAGACTCCTCTGTGTGACTGAGGTCTCTTGTGTGGAATTGAACCTGTACTGGATTTGCATCAGCAAGAAATACCTGGGCTTTAATTTCAGGACAATAATCGTTGCTTGCTGCAATGTAAAAGCTTTGTTATATTTGGATTTTGAGTGCACGTGCCAGTGAATTGGTGGGGAAGGTTATTTAATGAGGGGATGGAAGGGATGATAGGCGGGAAAGCTGGCACCCTGATGATAATGCTGTTGGTGGGATCCAGGGAAAATGTGTATGTATAAAAGTAAATTATTGTCTGCTGTGATGCACTGTGTTTTGTCCTAATAGAGAAAGTTGGTCAGTGGAGCTCCCAAACATTTCCCACTGCTGGGATGGAAGTTCCAGTGCTGTTTGAAATGAGTACAGTGTATTAACAGAGAATAACTCTGTTCATTTTTATCTTCCTGTTTTGATTTGGTCCTCATTTTCCAAACACTGTGTTTTGTGATGAAACTCTATGGAGTTTTATCTTCCTGGGCAGCAGAGATGGAAAAACTTGATCATGTTTGAATGCAGTCAGAAGGGGGAATATTTGCTGCTGCCACATGATTACTTTTATGAAATTTTTTTTATAGGCTGCATCAAATTCACAGTAGAAATGAAAACTTTGCAGGGAGAAATAAAATGACTTTCACCTGTTCTGTGTCAACATCTACGTTTTTCTGGCAGTAGGTCAGTCTGTACTACTTTATCAAAGGAAAATTGTTTCCTTAGTTAACTAGTGGCTCTTCATCACAAATCAGTAGCTGAGTGCATAAGTGCTTTTACCAAATGTAAGCTGAGGAAATATGAAGGAGTGGCACCTGAAAGGTAAAGCTTCTTTAAAACACTCTACTGGATCCCTCCAAACAATCCTAATGATGGAGTTTGCTTCAAAAGCTAAATTCATCATCTCAAAGGTACACAGCAAGTGAAAGGTGATGTGCCATGATACTGACTGAAGAAGCTACTCAGTGAACAAGTGTGAGTTTGTTATTCTTGCTCAGATTCTCTTGAATGGGCTGGCATCTGTGCTTAATTCACTGATCAGTGGGAGTGTGGCAGCTGTAGAGTGAGGATGGTGGGATGAGTGTGTGTGTTTAAATTACTTGGGTGTGATACAGAAGTTTAATATTAGCACAAAGCACAGGAAAATTTAAATTGCTCCTCCGGGAACACACACGGAATCTGTGGCAGCGCTGAGCACTGAATTTAGGGCTTAATTTGTTAATGTCTTATTTTCCCGCGTTACCGTCCTCGTAATGTTTTCTTCTTGTGTTGTAATATGTGTGAGAATACTTTCTTGTTTTCCTTCCGCGAGGCCTTGTTGGTAAGTGTGACCTTTCCAATTAATTGCCAACAAATGTTTTGGCAGTTACATTTCAACTTCGAACGCACAAAAATTACTTTCAGTGTGGCTCCTTGGCAAACTCCCGTTGGCAGAATGGGTGATCCCGGTGATTTGCTGGGACTGCCAGAGCAGCATGGAGAGAGCTGTGTCCTGTTCCCACATCTTTAAGCAGAGCTCGGGCTTGTTTTGAAGTGCTGCCCTGTTTGTTGATAGCGGTGCCTACAGACATCTCTCTCTCTCTCTCTCCGTCGTCAGAATGATGGCAAAGCAAGATACCTCCGGACTGAGCCTTTCCTGCTGCTGGCGCGTGTGTTTGTTTTGCTCCCATGTGTCGTCATTTTATGCGGAGGCATCCCTTCAAAGGGATGGAGGGAGTGTCACTGCTCCTCATTCTGTCCCTAGCCAGGGATTTAACAAGCAGTACTGAGGTAATCCCGTCTCTGGCGGCCGTGCTCCTCAGGCAGCGATCTTATCTTGCTGTGAAAGCTCCAGAGATCCCTCTTGTCGGTGCTGGGATGGAGGTGCGGCTGGAAGTGACTCAGAGGGAAAAGCATCCATCCGGAGCTGGTCCCTCCATCCAGGCTGGCCAGCTACAGCAACACCCGTGTGGTGCTGTGGTCTTCAGCCTCAGCAAGGTCTCTGCAGCACAGGGATTGCACTGCCGAGGTGTGCTGAGCTCTGCTTCTGTCATTTCCTGGGCTGCAGGCAGCCTAGTGTTTCACTTCATGCGCTGCCCTTGTTTAGGGATTTCCTGGCATCCTCCTATTGAGGGCAGAGATACTTATCTTGCATCTCAAATGAAATTTCAGGTCCTAGAGAGAGTAATTAATATTCTGGGTATTGCACGGTCCTGTTGGTGTGACAGCTCTGTTCCCAGTAATATCACTATTCTTCCTTCCTTTTTTTTTTTTTTTAAACATTTTATGGAAACAAGAGAGCTTATTTCAGTCTGAAGGTATTTATCATATTTTGTTTTTTCTTCTTTACCCAGCATCCAACGAGCTGCACTGGTGGTTCTGGAAAATTACTACCGAGATTTCACAGTCTACAACCCAGCCTTGTTAACAGCCTCCAAATCCCGAGCAGCCAAGCACATGGCTGGCCTGAAAGTCTACAATGTTGATGGTAGGTGAGGTGAAATGTAGTCTCTCAGACTGAGTGGGACGGGGAAGGGCTGGATTTGCTTTATGCTTTGTTGTGCACGCATTCTCACCTTTTTGCTTTGCCAAGTCCTTGTCTCTTGCTGGAAATCTTCCTAGCAGCGCTGTGTTTGCCAGTTCCAGATGACTTTACAGATGTGTTTAGCCCACAATAAGGCTTTTGTCTTTGCCAGGTGAAATGGCCAGGTTTTGGGTCGGGCTTAATTGTCATGTGGCTTGACACTTTTCAGCACCTCTGCTTGTCTCAAGCAGCCTCTGCTTTTTGCCACCCTTGGGTCATCTCTTTAGTTGTGATAGTACAATAAACACAACTTTTAACTTAAATGAGTTCCCCAGTCGTTTATTGTGCTGCTTTCACATGCAGCCTTCAGGAAGGTGAAGGAGCCACGGTGTGAGCAGCAGTTGCTGATGAAAGTGATGCTCATCAGCCTGCAGTCTCAGCACTAAATGAGCCTGGCTCACCCGTGGCCATGGAAATTCAAACACCGATAACGATCCCCATTGAGATTTGCCGTTCTACAAACGTTCTCAGGCTTTGGGGCTTTGAAAAGCGGATGGGTGTGTGGATGCTCAAAGCAGTGAAAACTGGACTTAATCATTTGACACTCTTAAACCCTATCGGTGAAAGCCATGCTTGTTAAGCAAGGTGTGCCCAGCAGCCTTAGTAGAGGCGCACATTCCTTTGGAGGAGTCAGAGCTGAGTAGCAAAGCTTTTATGGTGAAGGATGGCTGAAGTTGTGTGACAAAACGTGGTAAAGGCACGTCCTGCCCATGAATTTGTTAGCATTGAAAGGCTTTGAGAGCTGGGAAGAGGGGACTAAAGGGACTTAGCTGGGCAAGGTGGCTCTGTGTGCATATTGTGGAGACTGAAATATGAAGAGTATCTGTCATATTGAAAAACATGAGACATGATTGTTTTACTTTCAGCAAAGTTTCAGTGCCTTATAGGTGTGGAATATTTTGTTTTCGTTTTCCTTTTTGGTTTGTTTGGTTTTTTCTTTTTTGCTGAGTTTTAAAAACCTTATCCTAAAGACTTCTCCAACCTCATGCAGCACTCGTGGGTCCATAACATTGATTGGAGGTTTAGATCCTTACAGTGAGATATTCCCATCCTGACAGAGGAAGAGGAAGGACAGGTTGACCATCATGTATCCTTTGCTGCCTGGAGTGCTGCTCTTGGTTGAGTTTGCTGGAGAGGGGAAGGAAGCAGACATGCAAACAGAAGTGCTGTGTTTTTCTAGAGGTGCAATCATTCATTCCAGCTGCCTGCTCTCAGTGAGGCCAGGTGCAGGGAAGGTGAGGGCCTCCTGATGCCACAGAGGTGTCTGCAGGCTATTCAGACCCCACAGCCTGCCAGGCTGGCTGCAGGGTGTGCCATCCTGATTGCTGGCTGGTCTTCTCAGGAGCTGGCATGCTCTCTTTTCCTGCAGCACCTGCTGGGACAGTGGGACTCCCCAGCTCAGAGAAGGCCTGTCAGTCTGGTAGTGTGAGTGGCTCAGAAGCTGCTAGCTCATGAGGCTTTGTTAGAGGAGAAGGAACCAGAAGCAAGCTGCAGATGTGGCTGGCAACCTTTCCAAGTGTCAAGCTTGTGGGCCTGCCAGGGCCTGGAAACTCCTGCCTTCCCTTCTGGGGCAGTACCACTTGCTTGGACTGCTCTGTGTGCAGTGCTGCTGCCTTTGTGGACATGGAAATCCCAGGCTTAGAAGCATGTCATTAAGAAGATTCTATCCATCTTACAAAGCAAAGTGTAGTTCTGGCTGCAGCTTACCCTGGCAGGCTGACAGTCTGTTATACCCTTCTTGTAAAGAGACAGTAATGCTATTAAGGCAGACTAATTTGTTGACAGCTTTTGTATTTGGTACTGCAGCAGCCAGGAAAGAAAAACGTATTGCTGTAATCTCTCTTATGCAGAATGGGAAGGTTCACCTTCAAAACCAGGATTTTCATTGCCAGGTGTAGTCAATGAGGCAAATTACAGATGTAACCCAAATTTGGGAGCTAGTGTCTCCCTTGAGTCATATCCTCCATTTCAGGGCTGTCAAACAAAGTCTGAAATGTTTAGACTCTTAAGAAGCTATTTGTGTTTGTTCTTCCCACTGCTGAGTTTCAGGCTTCTGTCTTGGAATCTGGTTTGGGCTTTTTAGGAAAAAAATTAAAAAGAGTTGCCCTTGCTTGAGCAGAATAATTTTGAGCATGTCTGTGCAATTGATTTGCCCTAACCACTTCCAGCTGAGGGTGTGGGCAAGAGGAGTTTGGCACAAATCAGCTCTTGGTGGCTTGGAGTTAGTCCTAGACTACCACTTAGCTGTGGGTAGACCCACCTCTGCCCCCTGTTTGGATGGAAGTGTTTGTAAGCTCTTCTGGGGCAACACCAACACTTTTTCCTCTTCCTACCTGAAAAGCCAGAGCTGAGGGCTTCATGGGAGACTTGAAGAACCTAGTACTGTATTTTAAGGTCACAGTTAAGGTCTTGTAGTAGGCAGCTCTGTGGGCTGACTGAGTGTTACAAAGCAGATTGCAGCTTCCCTGTTCCTGTGGCTCTCTAGGAGCTGTTAAGAGCAGCAGAAGTTCTAATAGCTGGTGCTGCTCAGAGTGCCATGAGAAGCTGCTACACATACAGACCCCATCTTACCCTGCTGTGGGACTGCTGCTCTGACAGCATCTGCCCTCCTGGGAAACTCTATGCTTTGCCTAAAGGTGACCCTGCTGTCCCCTGCATCCTGTTTCTCGTTCCTGTGAATGACTGTGTGGAGTTTGGCTTTCATTTATTCATCTCCATGTCTCATTATGTTCTTGTGTTTGTCTCTCTCCTCTTTCCAACTTCTCACTTTTTGTGCTCTCACTCTGTCTTGATGCTGAAATGTGATATGCTCCAGCTGCCCTTGCCTTCAAACTGAAAGCATATATAATGGGGGGTAAGTTGCATCCTTGGCATGTTCACCTCACTCTGCCTTTGTGTATATTGTGAGACCCTCCATCCCAACTAACTTCCCTTGTCCACGTGCCAGAACGCCCTCTCCAAGCTTGTGCTGCCTTGCAGGGTTTCTGCCGGAGCTCCTGAGGACCGGGGAAGGGTTTATAGCGTTGGCTGGGAAGGCTGCAGCCCCAGAGCGCAGTGACAGCTGCCGTGGGGTGCTGCTCTGCCCCAGCCCTGTGGCACTGACCCAGCCTTTATCTCCTGTGTGCCCGTCCTTGTCCCCCAGGCCCAGGTAACAACGCGTCGGGGCAGTCCCGGGCCATGATCGCGGCCGCCGCCCGGCGCAGGGACTCCAGCCACAACGAGCTCTACTACGAGGAGGCCGACCACGAGCGCCGCGTGAGGAAACGCCGCGCCAGGTAAAGCCACCCTGTCCCGGGTGCCGCTGTGGGGCTTGCTGAGCCTGGAGGGTGCCCCCAGCCCACCATGGAGGGCTGGCAGTAAATCTGTCACAGGGAGGGAGCTTAGGAAACACAGATGCCTAAGGGACGGTGGCAGCTCGCAACTGGAATTGTCGGAAGAACATATGTGCAGCTGAGCTCATGTATGTGAGGCAGATGAGCTAATGCAGTGTCGTGGATTAGGGAACAGTCCCGTGCTTGACAAGTCTGTAGTTACTTGCTGTAGGAAATCCCATTATTTTTGCTCATGCCCAGGTTTGTCAGCTGAGGTAATCTAGGGACAGGATCGGTGGAGTGCTTGATGTTGCCTGTTCATAGGTGAGGAGAATATTTGTGTTTGCAGGCTAGTCAGAGGGGCAGTTTGACTGGCTTTCAATGAGTTGAGGAGGAAAGACTTGACCACAAGCAGTTACATTTTATTTTGAAACATAGATGTCCTCTGCCAGTCATGCTTAGGCTGCAGAGTTGATGCTTTGTTGGGGTGACCCAAGACAGTGAGTGCCCTGTTTACTCAGGAGCCAATTGCAGTCTGTAGTTAGCATACCTAACAGTTTGAGGCAAGTTACTTATGGGCAGGCTCCCCTGGACTGAGCCTGTGTTTGGAAGGAATGTGTCATAACTGGAAGGAGCTGACTTGTTTTGAATTTTCTTTTGGCAGTTTGTTTCACTGGAAAAGTGCTGGCACTACGTCCCCTCCTTGCCTGCTTCAGTCTGACCTGTGCTCTATATATAGCCTCTGTCTTTTAGGCCCTCTTCCAGCCTCAGAGCGATAGGAACTTAAACTTGCCATTCTATGAAGTGTAGGATCCTAACCTGGGCACATCTCCTGTGCTTGCTGAGTTTGGTTAGAACAACTGCTTAGTCAGAGGGGAAACTGTCAGTCACTAGGTAAGTCCAGATGTTTCAGGCCAGGAGCTTAAAACTGATTTCCACCCCTACTTCCCCCATGTCAAATTAAACAAAATGGGCAAAGGTCGGGGAACTTAAGGAACTTAAACTTGCCATTCTATGAAGTGTAGGATCCTAACCTGGGCACATCTCCTGTGCTTGCTGAGTTTGGTTAGAACAACTGCTTAGTCAGAGGGGAAACTGTCAGTCACTAGGTAAGTCCAGTAGTTTCAGGCCAGGAGTTTAAAACTGATTTCCACCCCTACCTCCCCCATGTCAAATTAAACAAAATGGGCAAAGGTCGGGACTTCTCATGCTGTTCCTCATGTACAGCCTGAATGCAGTGTGCTGTATTTCTGCTTGTGGTGAGGCAGTGCCCCTGGCTTTAAGATGCATTGGATATTGAGATCGTTGTGGACAGTCATTGGTGACTTGAGAGAAAATTAGGTATAAAACAAGTCCTGTCTGAAGGGGCCGAAGAGTCCTGTTGGGTGGCTCTTCCGTTATTGTATTTTCCTCAGCCCCTCACTTGGAAGTTAGCCCAGTACAAAGGAATGAGTGTCATGACACCCTTCTACGGTGTGGGCTTTGTGTTTGCTCACCTGTGCCAACACAGGAGAGGTTTGCAGACAATGATGCCTTAAGCTACAGTGTTAGGAGTGAAGATGGAGGAATGTTTTCACCCTTGCTGCTCAGTGAGGGGTGCAGGGCAGTCATTGGGCAGCAGGAGCTCTGTGCCCAGCTGGTGGGAATGGGAGCAGACTGCAGCTTGTGAGCACGGTGTCTCGGAGCAGGCTGTGTCCTTGGTGACACTGGGGTGTGCTCAGCCTCCCCCGAGTGCTAGCCTGTCCTCTGTGCTGGGACCGCTGTACTCAGGCACGCGTTAAACGCAGGGGCAGCTGGGTCTTGTTTGAGTCACGTAGCTGATGTTTGTGCTGTGCTGGCAGAACCAATGCAGTGCTCAGGGCTCTACAGTCTTAATCTTGGTTTATGGTCCTCAGTTGGTGGATGGCTTGGGCAAGGAAGGAAAAGCTGCTGTCTACCCCTCAGACTGTCAGTAGAGAAGATTTTGTGTAAACTGGTAGCAGGCAGTGACTTGATGGCAGGTGGGAATAGGAGGCTTGTAAATCCTGACTCCCAGGCTCTGCCTTAACCACAGACCTGTCCTACTTCTTGTTATGACTCTTGCTGTCCTGATTTTTTTGCTGCAGGCTCGTGGTTGCAGTAGAAGAGGCTTTCACTCACATCAAACGCCTCCAGGCAGAAGAACAGCAGAAAGCTCCAGGAGAGATGATGGACCCCCGAGAAGCAGCCCAGGCCATCTTCCCCTCCATGGCGAGAGCTCTGCAGAAGTACCTTCGCACCACGCGCCAGCAGCAGTACCACAGCATGGAGAGCATCTTGCAACACTTGTCCTTCTGCATCACCAACAACATGACACCAAAGGTAATGAATGCATTCTCTAGTGCTGCTGCAGGAGGGAGGGAGAAGGGGATGGCACATCTGTGTGTGCAGGCAGAACAGAAAGTTGTCAAGGGAGGTGAATGAAGGCTTTCGTAGCTGCTCCCTGTGAATTGGCCAGCGTGGTGTAGGTCTTGAGGGGAAGTAATATTTCCTCTGCAGCGTCTTCTGTCTCTTTTTTTCTGAAAGTGCCTATGAGATATTTGTTCTTGAATCCAATTCAGCAAAGGGAATGCTTAATAAATGTTTAAAAGGGTGGCTTTGAGTCACAGGAGTTTTCCCAGCTGGCTTGTAGTACCAGAATGATGCAGGTGGCAACCTGCAAAGGATCTTTTTGGTTTTCTGCCCCCTCTGCCTTGCTGCATTTTGGACTGCTAATGATTTTCTAAATCTCAGTCTCTCTGACAGTGTTTCCCATTCATGAGCTGCTTCATGCCTAGGCTGTGACTATTGACTTGCAGACACAGGGAAGGACTGAGTGATAAGGGAAACAGGTTACACAATTCCCCTCCCACGCTCTACCTTCCTTTCTAAGAACACCCCACAGTCCTAGGAAAGAGCTATTCCTGGACATTCACCCAGGACTTACTGCAGTAAGAGCAGAAATGCTGTCAAGAGATGGGGCTTAGCACCCTCTCACTGTGAGCGACCTGAGACCTTGCCCAGGTATGCCAGGGGATTTCTGCTGCCATTGGGATTGCAGAGGGACTTGAAAATACAAGCAAGGTCAAATGGCATTTTGCATTCTGTTTTCAGTTTTGCACCTTCAGGCTGAAAACATGGAGACATCTGTTTACCACCTTAGCTTGGTCTGAAGGAGAGCCGCTATCCTGTCTGACTGGGACTGCAGTTTTGGGATCGGTTATGGGGCTGGTAGGGGAGAAATGACCTCTGCTCTACTGAACTGCTGCCAGATGGCTGTGCTGATGGCAGAAGTCAGGGATATAACTTTGCAAACTTGCTGGGATGGACTGAAAGAGGATCTCCTGATGTTTGTGTCTACTCCTGGGTCTGCAAAGCTGAGAGGGACTGGGGAGAAGATGTCTTCTGAAGTGTTAAAGCTGAAACAATTTGCAGCATGGCAAGCCCGTGCTCGTGGCGCTGTATTTGGGGATGGGAAGAGAGCAGGGCGAGTTGTGGGGCTGGTGCTAACGTGTGTCCCGCTCTTGGCAGGCATTCCTGGAGCGTTACCTCAACCCAGGCCCAACCCTCCAGTATGACAGGGATCGCTGGTTCTCCAAGCAGTGGACGCTGGTCAGCGAAGAAGCGGTCACGAGCGGCTTACAAGACGGCGTCGTGTTTGTCCTCAAGTGCTTGGACTTCAGCCTTGTTGTTAATGTGAAAAAAATCCCCTTCATCAAACTCTCAGAAGAGTTCATAGACCCTAAATCTCATAAATTTGTCCTCCGCTTACAGTCTGAGACTTCAGTCTAAGGGATTTTGAGGGTGGGTTGTTGGGAGATTTTTATTTTTGTTTTTTTCAATATCGTGCTTTTTGGGTTTAATTTCCCCAATGCTGACTGAAACTGGCAGATGATGGACCAGTAATATTTGACCATCTGCACTTTATTTGGAAAGGGGAGGGGGGAGTTGGGATATCTTATCTAGGAAGAAGTATCTTAAGAGGCAGCAGGGCGGTTTGGCTCAGTTAGCTCAGCCTTGGAGACAGAACAGATTTTTTTCTTTGCCCCTCTTTCCAGGCATCCTGTAAATCTCACGCTCTCTTTCTCTGCACGGCTGCAGTGTCAGAGTTGTTGCTGGAGCGCTGCCTTACACCGTGCATGCCTGCACTCTTGTGTCTCTGCCTTTGCCACCTGTGGCTGCTCCTGAGGGCTCATTGCTCACCTGTTCCCCACAGGAATCTCCTGGCACAGGGTGCCACAGTCCCTGCTCACTTGGGGAGGAGGGGATATCAAAGGTTGGGGGTGTGAGGGGACTTCTACTCTTTATTCTTCTTCTCCTCCTTGCCATGTGCCTCTTCTGTCAGTGCCAGACCTCTATGGGCATAATGGGATGGTTTCACCCTCTGTGAAAGTGCTTGTCTTGAACTGGATCAGCCCATTTGCAGCTCTTCAATTTTGTTTTTTCCTTAATCAGTGCTTGTTAGTGTAGTTGTTCTTCATGTCACAGCTCCCTGTTACCGCTCCCCAGCTTCTCTCTGTCCTGCTTGTCAGCATCTTTCTCAGGCAGGCCCAGGGTTTCCTTTTTCTGTGTCTCCTCTGTCTGGCTTTCTGAATGTTTCTCCAGGCACTGCTGCTTCCTTTTGCACCTGCAAGGGCTGTGTGTTTGCACTGGGACAGGGTCAGTAGTAGCTGGCTCCTCCTGAGATAAATCACAGACCCTCCCTACGTCTGACAGCCTCTTTGAGGGGAAGGGGGTGCAGGCAGGAATGTGCCCCTCCCTCTCTAGCCAGCTTCAAGTGTGTCTGGAGAAAAGAGGTGCAAAAACACTTCCCTCCTTCAGGAGAGGAGCCAGGGAAAGGCTGACCTGTGCCCCGTTCACTTGCTTTGGAGAACTGTTGTGCTCTGGAAACACTGCAGTCCTTCCCCCACCGTACGCCTTCAGCTGTAGCTCAGAAATACCAAACAATGCCTGAATGTTGAAAATCTGCCTGCCTTTCTTGGCCTTGCTGTACTGTGGGAGTTTCTGCTCTGCGTTGGGATCTGCTTCTGAGAGATGCAGTTTTGTTTGTGAGGCTGCCTTTGCCCACCAGTGCAGCTTTCGTGTGTGAATTTAGTCACCTGAATTTGGAAGGTTTGTTTTTAATGGTGAGCCTAAATTGGTGTCTGAAGTCTGATTGCCAGCACAGAGCATGGAGTGTCTGGAGCCAGCTGCAAGGCTGGCAGTGACCTGAAGGTCCCTTGAGAATCACGTGAATGTAAATTATCAATTTATTCTGCTCAGTCTTTTGCCATGCAAATATTCGTTATCGGGCAGGATCTGGCCTGCCCTCCGTATGGATGTGTTAACCAAGAAGGCCCTAATTCCAGCAGTGTGTAAGTCAGTGCCTTTCATTGCCAGCCTGCACGGTCTTCTGAGGAGAGCTGTGACAGCCCCTCATGTTCCTTTTGGCCTTTCCCAGCCCTTCTCACAGCAGGCATGGGCTGGGAAAGGCCATGTGGCTGATGTCCACAGGGAGCAGCCACTTTAAACAGGGGTGCTGGGAACAGGGCAGGAGGGTCCATCCTCTTCCAGCTTCAGCAGCAGTGGAGAGGCATGTCCAACAGTTCTCTTGGGATCAAGGGAGCACCCTTGTGAGTGAGGGTCCAAAGTGATGATTCCCCATCCAAGTGACACCTGCAGTTTCCTGCGTTTTTCTTACAAGCACGTGGTAATCTTCTGGATCCTTTTTAGTCTGTGTAAAATGTGCCCGATGTGGTTGTAAAGAAACTGGATGGCATGGCACTTGATGGGATTATGCCCTTTGCCCTTAAAGGATGGGAAGTAACCTTTCTTACAAGCACGTGGTAATCTCCTGGCTCCTTTTTAGTCTGTAAAATGTGCCAGATGTGGTTGTAAAGAAACTGGATGGCATGGCACTTGATGGGATTATGCCCTTTGCCCTTAAAGGATGGGAAGTAGATAGTGTTTTCCCCTCTCTAAGCTCAATGTTTGGATTTTTTGGCAGATCAGGCTTTCTGGTAGTCTGTATGAGGACTCCTTTATTGACTGTGGCCTTTGCAGTGTTTTACTTTGAAAAAAATAGGTTGGTTTATTACTTTAAAAGAAAAAAAAAAAGGGAAGGTGAACATAGAGTATCTTACACTTGGCTCTCCTGAAGATGCCTACACCTGGCTTTTATGATGTGCATAACCAGCAGGGTGGGAGAGACTGGGAGTAGCTTGGGAGACTGTGGAACGCTTAATACCTGTGTGGAGGCTACTGCCTGTGGCTGAGTTGGCTCATTTCTGTGAAGGCAGAACAAGAACCACCTTGCCGAGGGCTTGGGTGTGCCATGTATGTGAGAGCACCTTGTCACAGGCACATCTGCAAAACTTTTCTACTTTCCCAGGATTTCCTTCCCCTTTCCTTTTCCCTCTCCCATGAGGAGGGGTTGTCTGACAGTATCTGCTCAGGAAATTCATGTCTTAATTTTGTTAAATCCTTTAACACATGGAGAACCAGACGGAAGCAGCGTGTGCTCAGTCTGGGTCTGCTTCTTCATCTTTGTGCTGTGGTTCAGCACTGCCTTTTCTGCCTGCTGCCAAAAAGGACACTATCAACAGGGGCCAACTCCTACATTAAATGCTCTTCCCTCTGCCTGATGAAATCTGAAGGAGAGGTTTCTCTCAGATGGTCTCTTTAGAGGTGCAGCCTGCTTAGAGGTGAGGACAGACTGAAAGGGGAATCATGATTCCTGAATATTCCCTGTTCTGGTATTTCTGGTGAAATTTTTTGGGGTCTCTCTTGCTTCCCTTCTCCATGCAGAATCAGGGGACCACTGTCATACCTACCTCACTGGAGTGTTGTGAGGCTAAACTCAACTTGCTTTCAAGTGCTTTGAGATCCACAGTTGGATCTGTGGTATCTGTAGGAATTTTACTCTGTAAAAAATACTGAGCCGTGAGTGCAGACTGGTTTGTTTAACTCTGTTTATAGCCAGCTAATGAGTAAGAATGGAGTCATAGGGAATGAAGCTCTCATCCAATTCCTGCAGCCCTTACTTCTGCCGAGCTTGCCAAGAGCTGAGCATAAATACAACTTGGAGGGTTTGCCAGCCAAGTGCAGGTTGTTCCTTCAAATGCCTCTCCTATCCTGCACTGTCTCCTTGCACATATTTTTATTCCTCTCTCCCAGTTTGGATGTTTGTACCTGGTTGGGAATTGTGGGGGGGTTATTAGAATTCAAGTGGTTTTTTAAGACAGCCCTGTTGGTGATGGAGTGGTCAGTGTCCCTCTTGGAGATGATCCTTGCACTGGACATCCTTCACTGGAAGCTGAACCATTTGATAGGGTGCTGTGCTGTGCTGCCCAGCCAGGAGTGATGGTGCCCCACTCCTCTCTTCCATGTTGGCATGTTTCCTGTAACTCAAGTATGTTGCTCAGATACTTTAAAGGCTTTGGGTTTTTTTCCTCTCAGATTTGTTACAGCCTAAATCCAAAGCCATGCTGAGATCTTGCAAAACCAGATGCAGCTGAGACTTTCAAGTGTTACAGAGGAGATGGAAATGGCTGTGGGTTTCCATTAAGGCTGGCTTTCTCTTTCCTGGCTGTAAAGTGAAATATTTTAATTTCTTGCAGTAGTATCTGCCCCTGCAGGAGTGTAGGGGCAGATTTTACTCTTAATACTTTGCCAGTCCCGTAGCTGGGCATGGGCAGGTGCTGTTGTCACACCTGTTGGCCTCTCACTGCCATGTGACTTCAGCTGTGGGTGCAGACTCTGTGAGGCTGCCCTGGGTCTCAGTGTCCTTTACAACACCTGGAAGCTGAGCAGGCAGCACTCTTGGAAGTGTAAGCATTGCAGTACTCCCCTCCATCGCAGTCTGGGGGCTGGGAGGGGCTGAGGCTGCACTTGGAAGCTTGGAGGCAGTGCACAGGAAGGCTCAAGTTTGGAGACCTGAACAAATATCAACCCTTATGAAGCCTCCAAACCTTTTCCTTTGGGATGGGGCTCCCTGTGCAACACCTTCGGAATCTGCTGTTGCTGAGTTCAGCCAAAATCTGTAGGGAAGGAATATCTGGAGCTGGTCCTGCCCCACATAAGTAGCTTTGGGAGGTCTTGTTTGAGATGTGCTCACTTCCAGCTCTTGCTGTTGAAGAAACTGAAAAGATCCATAGCTTGCTAAACATGGAAACCTATTCAAGCCAATTTCATCTTGCTCACCAAAACTTGTAATTCTGCCCTTTTCAAAGGATAAGGAAAAGTCTTGCAGTCTTCTGCAACAGTGCTGTGGTCTGGTCCCAAGCTGGCTCCTCACATGGGCTCAGTGCTGCCCATCCATGTGAGAGCTGCTCACGAGGTGTGTGTGCAGGTGTTTTCTCATTCAGCTTGTGTGTGTCTGTGTGCTTTTCCCCCTCTGGTGTGCACATTATATGTGTTTAAAGCCTCAAGCCAGACTTGGTGGCTCAGTGTTTCAGCTGTCCTTAAGAAGGAAGTGCTCTTGGAATTGAGCTGGTTTTAGAAAACAAAAAAAAAAGGAAACTCCCCAAATTTCTGTTCTGAAAGATGGCTTTGGGCCATGATGTCTCTTACAGGAGCGTGCATCCTCCTGCCTTCAGGCTGCTGCCTCCCATGGATGCTGACCAAAAGTTGCAGTTTCCGACAGCTTGAGCGGTGCCGATGGCCGTGCGCCGGTCCCCAGCGGGGTCCCCGCCGTGCCAGCAGTACAGCTGGCATTACCCCCCTCTGTGCCCCTCCAGCAGACTGCATTGTTCTATCCCTGCTGCTCACGGCAGGCAGGCAGGCAGCCCTGCCCTGGGTGTGCTCTGCCCAGGGAAGGAGGGAGGGGATCCTTCCTTCCCTCTGGCTGCTTCCCGGGCACCTCTCACCAGCACTTGGGGTCTTCTCCTGTGTGCACGGTGGGGAGATGCTGTGGCCACTACCTGAACAGGCATAACTGTGAAGGAATCTTACACTCTCCTGTGCCTGTTTCTTTGATTCAGCATTATTGTGTCTTGGGGAAGGGGGTGGGAGCAAAATGCCCTTCCCTCACCCTCCTTTATCACTGTGTAATACTTTTTCTACACACACTGTGTATAGTAAGAAGGGTTTTGCCAAGGTTTTCTAATTAATAGACACTAACCAGCATTTCTTTCTTTCTTCTCTTCTTTGCACATGTGACTTAACTGCAGTGGTACATGGTCTTTCTGTTCTTTTCTAATCGTGAACTTAAGTAAGCAAATTCCTGGTGTCTGTGACATTAATGCACTGTGGGTTTAGCCTTGTAAATTGTTCTGTTCCAAGCTGGGTTCTCTTAAGTTATAGCTGGATGGGATTTTGTTGTTTTTTAAACTGAAACATAAAACCGTTTTACACTTTGCATATTTTGTACAGTAAAATTCTGGAAATAAACTGAAACCAGATTTGATTGTCCCACTCCTTTCTCTTACCCTTTCAGATGAAAAAGCCCTTCTGGTCTTCAAGCATTCCTTTGCTGTGGGCAGGAGGGGCCCTCCAAACATGTGGTTTAGCTTTTTTGAGGCTTTTTGTCACCCTCATTTCTAGGCATTTCTGGTCTGCCCTGCCCCAGTAAAATGCAAACTCATTTATCACTCCTGAAGGAAGACTGGTAAGTGACTGCTTTGAACACCTGAAATCTCAAATGATGGGGAGCAAATGCAGCTGGGGAAGTGGGGTGGTGGGGGGGCATGACTGGAGTGGGAACAGGTTTTTCTGCCTCCTGTGTTCTCATAGTTTGCACACAAATTATGAAGTGCAGGATTCACTGCCGAGTTCCTTATTTGGCCCTGGTGGGGAGGAGGAGTGGCGAGAGGCAGAAAAGCCAGTGCTCCTTGTTTGTGTGGATGCCAGCCTGTGCTCTGCTAAAAAAAGGTGCAGCGAGTCTCACCTCAACAGCATCTCTGGGTGGGGCTGTTCCCACCATCAGTTTCCACCTCCAGCACACCAAGAGCTCAGAAAAATCAAGCAGCTGTGCCCAAGGAAATGTGGGAGCAGCTTTTTTGTCTAGATGTTCTTTGGTGCCCCCTCTTCAGGCCAGCCCAGCCCAGCCGATCTCCTTGGTGGCTCCAGCTGCTGGAAAAATCCACAGGATGCTGCTCTTCAGTGAAAAAGAGTGTAGCACTTGTGAAGATAAGCACAGACATAAATGCTTGTGGAGAGAAACAGCCACGTGGTTAAATCTCTGCTTGTATTTGGGCTGGAGAGAGCTGAACTAAGGCCTGGGAGGAAGCAGGAAGGGTGGGATGGGAGGTGCAGCACTTGTGAAGATAATCACAGACATAAATGCTTGTGGAGAGGAACAGCTACGTGGTTAAATCTCTGTATTTGGGCTGGAGAGAGCTGAACTAAGGCCTGGGAGGAAGCAGGAAGGGTGGGATGGGAGGTGTGCTCTGTTCTGCCTCCTGCCCTCCCTTGATCTTTGCTTTTGATCTGTCCCTCTCATCCCACTGGTGCTTTGGCAGTGCCCAGCCCTGCACTGTTTGCAGGTCAGCTCCCAGAGATGTCCAGGGAAAGGGAAGAGCACTGCTGCTGCCGTGCAGAGGCTGAAATGGGGCTGCAGCCATTGTGGTGCCCTCCTGCCCATCAGAGGAAGGCCTGACTTGTTGGACAGGAGCCGTGGAGGAAAGGCTCTGTGGGAGTCGGCCGCAGGTGTGTCAGGGGAAGGTCTGAGCAGCAGGAATTTGGCATAAACAAGATACTGGGCTTGTCAGCCTCGTTCCAGGCTCTTAGATTTGAGAGCTGTGTCTTTACATGTGAGTTCAGCATGCTCTGTTTCATTTCTGGGATAGTGCTGATACCAAATCAACACC